CGGGCGAGATACATGAGCAGAAACGCCGCGACTGTGCTGAGTCCCCAGATGCAAGCCCACACACAGCTGCGTGATTGGACCGGGCGGGATGGCGGGGGCCAGGTTGCTGGGCACCACCCCCAGTTTCTGACTCACTAGAAATTTGCATTTTTAACAAGTTCCAGGTGATGTAGAGCCTGCGGGTTTGGGACCCCCGGATTGGGTCGCAATTAACACGAAACATGTTACGATGTGTAATCATCAATTCAGCAAAGAAACCTCGGGTCCACCCAAACGGAGCGCCTGCAGAGAGTCAAACATCTACAGAAGTAGACGGGCCTGTGGGAAATCAGTAAGGGAGGGAGGATAAGGCGCTCCGTTGGGGAACTGGGGGGCCCTGGTGAGGGATTACTGGAACCCAGTGAGAACTGTAGCTCCCTCTAGCGGTCAGTAGGGAAACGGCCACTCACTGTGCAGGGCAGTAAAGGTCGGCGAGATTCAAATACCCCAACTCCTCTCCTCCTTTCCCTTCCAGCTCCAGCCTGTTGTCTCCAGTTGGTCAAACCCAACTGGAAGCCAGAAAGTTAGGGAGTCCTCGGATGCAGCCACAAAGGTAGGCCTGGGAGGGCCCAGGGCCGCAAACGGACAATGTCCAGCCCAAAGGCAGTAAACTGATTTAAAGGAGGGATGGGGGAAGGGGGTCAACTGCAACAGAGCAATGATTCTATCGGGGCTTTCTTAGAGAAGTGGGGCAAGGACAAGGGAAGGGGGAGAAAGGAGCCCTCTGTTCTACCCCAAGGTGAGGAAAAGGCCACGGACAACCTCCTCCACAGGCTGCTGAGCTTGACCGAGTTCGGCGGTAATGTAGTCCCCTGGGTCTTCTCCAAGTGGCCTCACCCTCCCCACTGGGTGCTGTTAGGGGGCCCTAGAACCCCCTCCCAGAGATGCCTCACCGTCCCAGAAATGCCTCCAATTTCGTAAAGCAGTCCCTGAGCTACCAGAACGAGACATAGCTTTCTGCACCAGCTCCCCTCCTACCCACGCCAGCCCTGCACCAGCTACGTGGGCAATCATAGGACACGGAACCCATGAATTCAGGAAGCAGCCCATGTCACTCCCTAGGGTCAGAGCTCACCCCATAAGCAGAATGTGACTCATTTTCTCCTTAGTCACTTGCCCACTCCCCAACAAACTCAGGTACACAGCCAGGAACATCTCCCCATTGCCAATACAAGCAGGAGAGAAAATGGTTACTTCCTAAAGCAAGAAAGTAACTGACATAGAAAGTCAAAGAATAGTGGTTGCTTTTATGCAGAAGAGAGGAGTGGCACTTTGCTTGAGGTACAAAGGCAATTTCTGGAATGCTGGCAATGATCTGTTTCTTCAGTGACTGGTAGATACTTTGGTGTTTGCTTTGTGATAAATCATTAAACTGTAAAAATAAAAATTGGAGATTAAAAAGAAAAAAATAAAAGAAAATGGTTACTTCCTAGATTATAATCCTAGTGCCATTATTTCCCAGATGATGACTTTGGTCAGGTTTTTGTAACCTCTGGGCCTCACTCTCCTCATCTGTAAAATGGGAATGATGAAAAGAAGAAAATAAATTAAATTAATAAAATAAATTTTAAAAATAAAAAAATTTTAAAATAAAATAAAAATGGGACTGACAATAGTACCTCCTTCGTGGGTTATTCAGGTAATCCATGTAAGCAATTGGCTGGGTCCCTGATAATGTTGCCTGTTGTTATTATAAGCAAATGAGTGTGTATGCTTCGCCCCCAGGGCTATCACTTGTTTAACACCAAGGACAATGATAATCTTATCCTTTGTAGGGGGGAGAGGGCAAAGGGACAGGCACACATTAAATCAGACAATGTACCATTTTATTCCTTATAAAATATATTTCATATTGTTGCTGTAAAAACATTACATTTCACATTTTTAAAAAAATTTTTTGACAGTAAAAATAATACTTGGAAGACAGCTGGGGGTAAAGGCGCCAAGAAGACAAGTTCACAGATGGGATTTGTCTCCCTCTTCTTTTTTTTTTTTATTTGCCCCTGGTAAAGTCAGAACCTGGGAGGACCAGAAAGTAACAGGACAGATTTCTTCAAACAAATCGGAGTTTCCACATCCAAATTCATTATGTCCTCCAAGAAGTCGAGCCGCGCGGGCCGACGGCAACAATGAGGACGTCGCTCAGGATGCATTCTGAAATGACACAATTGCTTTCACAGCCGGCTTAGAAGTCAGATCATTAAATCCAAGCCATTTTACTAGCACGTTGGTCCTTATGCTTTGCACCTGTGACCTCATTTGCCCACAGCTACTATTCGCCGGTCTCTCTCTGCACTGAATGCGCAAGCACGGGTGCGGATTTGGTATCATTAAGGCTGTTCAGAGCAGGCACCACAGACTCCAAAGGTACTTCCAGAAATATTCTGAATAAGGGAAACGTCCCTGGAACAGTTTCCCAAGACACCTGCTTTTGCCAATCCGTCCTGTTAGTTTCCAGTGCGCACCTGCGGCCTCTTACCTCCTATCAGATTCTGCCGCCCGGGTGGGCCGGGAAGGAGGGAGAGATACAGAGATGAAGAAAACAGGCGTGATCGCGGGATCAGTTCACAAACCCCCACCCCCACCCCCGAGAAGAGACGAATGGGACAACCCCAGGACAGACCACACGTCAAGAACCAACACGATAGCCACAGATGGGGCAGCGGGAGGAGGGCGGCCAGAGGAGGCCACCACCACCAGAAAGGAGGCAGGAGCAAATGCTGACGGGGAAAGCCGCACCAGAACATTAAAGAAAAAAAAAAAGAAAAAAAGACCCTCAGTTTTTAAATCGTTGCATCAATTTCTTCTCTCTTCCTTTTCTGCCCTGTGCACCAGTGACATAAGAAGCCTGCCTTACTTAGAGAAAATCTTTATATCCAGTTATATCTACACGGTCCAAACTGAGGGGGAAATTAAAACAGCTTTTCTAAAGGCGAGACCCAGCAAGAGCTCTGATTAAGAAGGGAAGGGAAGAGGCTGCTGGGCTGAGCCTCCCCCCACCCCCATCTCAGAAGCCCCTTCCCCCCTCGGGGAGGACCTGCAGATGCACAGGGTGGGAAGTGAGGCGTCAGCACAGCAACACCCTGCATTAGCTTTTAATCAGGGAGCTTGAAGGGGCAGCAGGAAGAACCCAGGGCACCTCTTGCTGGCCTGGTTTCAAGCTTTACCAAGGGACAGAATTCCACATACTTTTTTTTTTTTTGACTAAATTATAAAAATATACCCCATCACCACCAAAAACACTCACGCATAAGAGTGTCTTTCCCTTCTGTCACCAAACCCAGGTCACTATCACCCTTCACAACATCACAGCCCTATTCTGTTTGCAACACTCAGAAACCTGCACGGTTGCAGGTGTGTCTCGGACTGAAAGGCATCTGCACGGTTCCTGCTTCAGCAGCCAGATGATCCCACCTGGACCAGGAGGACAGCCTCGCTCACAGCCAAGGGCTGGACGCCGCTGTGCAGGCCCCAGAGGGGTGGCCTGGTGGGATTCCCTGAGCCCCTGACATCTGGGACGCAGGCCCTGAGGAGTCCCCAGACCAGTCCCGCTCGGAACAAAGGTGAGGCTTCGAGACAAAAACACACCCTCCCCTCCGTCCAGCTCACCCAGCCTTGATCCGTCACTGGCTGGCACGGCGCGGAACCCCCCTCTCCTTCCTCCTCAACAAGAATAGCTTGGCTTATTTACCTCCCAAGCATCGCAGTCCGGGCTCCCCTCCATTCCTGAGGTCTCCAGAAGCGCCAGCAGCTGCTAAATCAACCCCGGTCCCCCTCACGTGACCTCCTCAGGATCCTAACTTCCTGCATCCTGCCGGCAGGCAGAAACGGCGCTCAGCAGGTATCTGGGAAGGTGACACCGTTATCAAAGTGACCCTCCCCATCACACTGACTGGACCAACCAGAAGTCTCCTGCACTGACTGAAGAGTCCTGTCCTACTTGTCACCTCAGGAAGGAGACCAGATGGTCCCCAAAGGGGCAGGTGAGCCAGTGGACCCTTTGGGGACCACTCAACGCCCTCTCACAATGGGGGAAGCTGCCACCTACCTTTCAGTCTGTTCTCTCCGCCAGCCCAGCCCTGCGGCCTTGGAGGGACATGGGAAAATCCCTGGTGAAACCAGAGACAAAGAGGAACCTACCTCGGGGCAGGGTCTCCCAGCCAAACAAAAGGGATCTTTAATCAGAAAGAGGCTTCTGAATACACCGTAACAGAAAACAAAGTGTTTCTGGGGTGTCTTCCAGAGCTGGCGGGGAGTGGATTCACTCGGGGAGCAGGGGAGAACTCTCACAAATACTATATATACCCTCTGGTCTCTCCTCAAGGAAATAGGAAAGGGTGATCAAGGTAGTGTTTAACTGCCACACCGCGCAACGTGAATTCCTTTGAGCCTTTTGGCTCAGCTATTTGGGGACAGTCTTTACAAACCTACGAGTCTGGGCTTGGAGAAGAAGCCATACAATATCGGTTGGGCTGCAATTCAACGTCAGGGAACCCGGATTCAAACAGTCATCACCAGGAAAATGGTTTTCCTTCGACTTCCACGGAAGCTGACGGGTGAGGACAAGGTCTCCCTTCTCCCACATTCGGGCAGAGAAGAGGGCCGGCTGCACCTTACAAAGCCCCCAGATTCCCCTCACTCTCCCCCCCACCAGCCTCGGCAGGCCCTGCTCTCTGAGTCATCAGCCAGAAATTTCTTTTCTTTCTTTTTTTTTAAGAAAAGTAAATCCATCTTGCTTACAGTCCCTTCTGGAAGAGTGGAGAAAGCAAAGAATTCACCACCTCAGCAGGAAACAGAATGAGCTGTTCCTTCTTTCTTTACGGACAAACTAATCCCCTAGGGAGACGGGCGGGGGGGAGGGGAGCGGAATCAGTTCTTTGGTCTCTGGTTCGCTGCAGAATACCCTTGGTCGGTTTTGGCTCTCTTCTATTTTAGGGGGGAAGAAAATATTTTCATGGGTTTTTTGTTTTGTTTTAAATAAAACGTTCCCGTGAGGGACGGAAAGACGTTTTAAGTATTAAACCTTAGCCAATAGAGCCCAAACTCCCAATGTCCACGCTTTAGCTTTTAGGTTTCTGCTGAGGGCTTAGGAGGCGTCTGCCTTTGTCCTCTGGCCGCCGGGCAGGGCTGCTGGACAGCTCAGTCCAGGAAGCGCTGGCAGGCCTTCTTCCAGCGGCAGGCTGTGCACCACTGGTCCCGGTGCTCGATGCCGTACACCTTGCGGCACTTCTTAGCCTCCCCGCGGGCTTTCCTGCAAGGCGGAGCAACGAGGGGACAGTCACGCACTGGCTGGAGCGCGGCTGGGTGGTTCCCTGGGACTCTGACCCTGCGGAGGAGGGTCGGGCGGGGACCGAAGCCAGAAGGGAGGCCTCGGGAGCAGAGGGTCTCACCTGGTGCTGCTCTGGGCCCGGGGTGAAGAAGTGACAATCAGGTGAGATTTCATGGCGGGTGGAGGCTGCTGGGGCTCGCTGAAGCTGAGCGACCGGCTCCGGACCTGGGCACGGGGTGGGGAGGGGCGTGAGCATGAGGGCAGACGTGCAAGGCGAGAGGACGAGAGGACCGTCCCCAGGGACAGCCGGCCACACCCGCCTTGTGCCAGGAGGCCTTCTCTGGAAGGACATTCCAGGCAGAGGTGAGCAGAAACCAGCTAGGGAGGGGAGGTGGAGAGGGACGAGCCGGCCTGGAACGCCACACGCCCGCTGGGGGTAGGGGCCACGGGCAAGGGGGAGCCACTTGGCCTGGCCACCTTGCGGCCTGCTCCCTGCAGATCTGGATGCAGCCACTATATGTGGGGCCGAAGGAGGCACGGCCCTGCCTCAATGGTACCTCCAAGGCACATCTTACAGCGTGTGATGCCTCCCTGCAGGAGATGTTTCAGACTGGAACCCACCAAGCATGGTTCAGAAGGACTTCCGATTTACTTTAGTTCAGAGGCAAGCCACCTAAGGCGCTGGTCCCCAGGGGCCTGGGCACCTCTGATCCACCCGCACAGCCCACCCACAAGCTCCTCTCTCCTTTCTCACCCGCCCTCGTCCTCTCCAGCTTTCCCAGGTTCTCTCCCTTCTCCTCTCAGCATTAAAACCTTACCAAGCACGTACAGACGCTCGCGGCTAAATAGGGCGCGGACCCCGCCTGGCCCCGTGATCATCTTGGCAATCAACTTGCTTGATCTGGGCGCTCCTCTGCAGGTGCGCCCCTCCCACCTTCTACAGGAGCCTGTGACCCGCAGGGGGTCGGAGGGGGGCGAGCTGGGGGGCGAGGGCACAAAGACCTTCGAGAAGCTGGGGCACAGGAGGCGTGCGCGGGGAGGTGGCCTCCGGCACCGGGTCCCTGGAAGTGGTGACGGGCTCAGAGCTGGGCACACTCACCGGAGAGAGGGAGGAGGCCGTAGAGGGGGCAGCGGCCCAGCTAATACTGGTGTAGATGTGCGGTGAGACGGGGATCTGGAAGGACGGCAGGGCCTGCCGGAGATCAGAGAGCGTCAGCCTGGGCCGCAGCTCAGGAAGCTTTCGGGGCCCAGCCCTCCCCCCGTGACCTCACGGTCTGCAGCAGCAGGTGCACCTCGGACCAGGAAATTCTGGGACACCCCGAAATGCTCTTCCAAAGAGAAATATGAGAGTACCGACTCTGTGGGGTCGCCCGAGTCTCAGGCTCCAATCTTCTTTTGGAGCCCTTCTCTCGGAGCTGGTGTACACGCCAGCCTCATGACTTAATCATCTCCACGGATTAACTTCTTGGCTGGATCACCCACCGAGAACACGCTCGAGGCAGTTTCGCCCAAGAAGTCCAAAAGCCTTCCGAGTGGGAGCTTCTGGGGCTGCGCTAAGGGTCTGGCGTCCCCAGGCCACCGCGTGGAAGCGGCACGTCCAGGTTGAGGGTTGTTTGTAAAAACGCCAGCCGCCCTCTCCAGGCCCCATCTCACAGAGCTGGCCGACTGCCCGAAGGGCCACCTGAAGTTGGCCCAACATGAAACAGCTAAGCGGCCACTCATTCTAATGAGCAGAAGAGCTGGCTCGATCTGTAAAGGCTTTCTGATGGAAAGCACTGCTTTTTAATTACAAACTTGCAAAATCAGCCTAGAGTCGGATAAAACCAAGCTGTAGGCATACAAGGATTTTAAGGAAAACCGACACGTGGCAAGCAGGGTGTTCAGTACCTACTACGTGCAGTAAAGTCCGTCGTAATGCCACTCCCTCCATGACAGCTTTACCAACCCCATAGGCATAGTAGCTTGGTCTTTCTGTAGCCACAACAATTTCTTATGCCTCCAGTAAGATACTTTGATTACTTATTATAATTAACCATAGTTACCCATTCATTTCTCTCTCCAGCTAAAGCATACACCTCACAAGGTCAGGAACTATGTCTTATTCTATCCGTAAAGCTTAGCCCGTGGCTTAGTAGGTATTCGAAAAACTGAGTGCCAGATTATTTCTTAACACAATTCTGGGAACTGGGGATTTGCCTTGGGAAACCCAACTGCACTCTTCTATCCCCTTTTATAGCCAGCGATGTACCAGTTCCCCAGCCCAAATCCATCAGCCTGGTTACCCAGGGATCCATCCAGATTTCTCATAACCGCTCAAGACGGCCCCTGAGGTAGAACTCTGGAACCCCCATATTTATCGAGTATGAAGTCATTTTTCTTTTCTTCTTTGTAGAAGTCAGAGATTAGTAATGCAGCCAAAGGACTCAGCCTTCAGCCGGGGTGGTCAGTGGCCTGTGATCAGGCTGACCAGTGACAGATGCTGAAAGTCCTCACGGCCACCAGACTGAGCTCCCAGCAGGTCCCCACCCTGTACCTGGTATGCGTGGTCGGCCTGAATGTGCCAGAAGGAGCCGGGAGCTGACTTGCTGAGAGCACCAGAGGGCAGGTAGGACTCCAGGCCAGGGTGATCTGGGCCTGAGGACTGGGCTTTGGGAGGAGGCGGAGGGAGAACGGCAAGGGGCGGGCTGGTCACGCTGGGGGTGGGAGCCGGGTCGACGGTGGAGCCGCCAGCGGCAGTAGCTTCCTCCTTCATCTGCACCTCTGTGTAGTAGAAATCCTCCTCCCGCTTGAACTGGTCGGAGTCCACGGTGTCCCTGCGTGGGAGGGAGACGCACCGATGACCAGGGACACGCTGCCTTGGTCCAAACACAGGGGGGAGAGTGAGGCGCGAGGGGAGCAGTTGCCCAGGGCCACCTGGCGAGTCTGGGAAGAAGGCCAGCAGGACACCCAGGAGCCCTGCTCCTGACGTGGGCTCACAGGGGATTACATGCTGGCCCGTCAACGGGAATTGTTTTCCCCATCACTGAAGGCTTCTCCTCCCGCAAGATCTGACTCTGGTCTCCACCCCGGGTCCTCTCCAGGCCCCACCCACTCGCAGTTGCTCTCCTTCAGGGAAAGGGCTCTGAGTCAGTTTCCTTGGCCATAAGCTGCCCCAGCTCCAGGGGGTCAGTGCAAAGGGAGCCCTGGCTTCCCCAGGGGAAGCAACAAGCTCTCACCAGTCGCCCTCTATCTGTCCAGAACTGAAACACCTTCCTTCCTACGGTGAGGTGAGAAGACACAACGGCAAGGTGGAGAGAGCTCCCTTCCCATCAACAGCATCAGCATCCACTACTGCAGGAGGGGCCTCCTTCCCGGCAAAGATCTCTTTCCAAGGGACTGTTTTGCGGGGCACAAGGCCAGGGACAGGTGGCGTCCTCAGCCGGCCAGTTTCTCGGAGGCATTCGGGACTGTGGGTCTCGGGGAATCGGCAGGCGGAGGACGCCTGAACGGCACCCTCGGCAGAGGGGCCCCGGGCTCGTACCTACCCCAGGTGGAGGGCTTTGACGTGGCGCTTGATGCCCACGATGGAGCGCAGGACTTTGCCACAGTTGGGCCACAGGCACTTGTACATCACCTTCACCGAGTTCTGGGGGAAAGGAAGACGGGGTAAGGGGGACGTGTCCTCCCCTTCAGCCCCCTCCCAGCCTCACCCAGTGGGGGCTTTAGCTGCCTTCGAACAGAACCCAGCAGAAGGCCGAGGAAAGGGTTTCCCAGGGACCAGAGACACTGACAAGCAGGGGCACAGAGCCTGGACTCGGCAGCTGGTCCCGGGGGCCGGCATCGGCGCCTGGAGTGGGGATGGTTGCTGGGGAGGAAGGAAGGCCTGCCGGAGGCCTCTGCAGGAGAGCAGGAACGAAGGCAGGGTTGGGGCAGAGGTGAGAAGGCCAAGGACGTGGCGTTGGAGAGGAGGAACAGGCTCCTGGGAATGCCAGGAGGAAAGAGAAGCAGCAAAGGAAAGCTAAAATGGGATGGAGCCTGAGAAGGCCCAGGACCCGGGGCCCGTCCCCTCCATGGCCGAGCTCCCCGCTCACGCCACGTACCTTTCTTTTGCGGGGAGCTGGTTCATCCAACAGGAAAGCGTCCGGGTCGGTCTCAAATCCGTTATCAGTTTGGGGAGAGCCAAAGGCGTCCCCCAAATACTTGGGGCTGGCCTGGGGGTGGGGGGGCGAGGGGGTGGATACGCCGCTGCTCCCACTCCAGTGCCCGCTGGTGGTGCTACTGCCGCTGTCCGACACGTCGCCGCTCTCCTTCCATGGGTCACAGGCCGCGCGGGAAGCTGGGCAGAGACAAGACAGAGGATGCTCAGGGGCCTGTCCCTGGGTCCACTCCAGATTCCGCACGGACAGCCCAGGGCGGAGGCCAGGAAACTCTAGTTTGGAGTCTGGGTTCCCGCATCTAACTCCTGGCTCTGGCTTGCCTGACTTTGCCACTCCAAGGGGGAAAAAGAAAAAGACAAAAAAATGTTGCCCCGCCCCCCAACAAGCCCCTCCCCTTTCTGAGCTTCAGTAAAAATGAGGAGTGGGTCCATTCATTGCAGCGCTGTCTGTGGGTGGCCCTACTCTGCTGTAGCGGACACCTCCTGGCAACAGCCATGCTGATGATCTGACCACCAGACACACGCCGCAACTGCATTTTGTGTGCGGGTGTCCCCCACTTTTCGGAAGTTTGCTTTACACCATTTCCCTTTGAGGAAAGACCCACAGTCGGCCCTCCGAATCTGCAGTTTCCGCATCCAAGAATTCAACCAACCGTGGATTGAAAATATTCAGGAAGAAAAAATTCCAGAAAGTTCCCCAAAGCAAAACTTGAATTTGCCACACACCAATTAAACATTTAAACAGCAACATTTAAAAGGCATTTACATTGTACTGACAGCTATTTACATTGTACGCAGCACTTACATTGTTTCAGGTATTAAAAGTAATCTAGAGGTGACTTAAAGTATACAGGAGGATATGCGTAGGTGACATGCAAGTCCTATGCCATTTTATACAAGGGACTTGAGCATCTATGGAGTTTGGTATCCGCAGGGGTCCTGGACCAATCCTCCACAAATACCAAGTGACAACCCTACATTAGTATCTGTTTTCATTAACTAAAAGAAATCTGAGGAAGGTTTTCACTTTATGAAAAAAGGTGAAAATAGCGTTCGATGTTGGTTTTGCAGCGAGCTGTGACAGAGGCAGTGCGCACCCCAAGCGGTAAGAGTGGCCCCACCGAGCTCCTTCCTGGGAGCCACACTCAGCGCCTCAGCACCTAGCGACCAGAGCTTTGAACTGTGTCTGTGAGCGTCCGTGCTTCATCTTGATTTATTCTGTGCAGCTGTGAGCAACATGTGTCCTAAGGTAACTGCTTCGCTTTGTACCATTTCAGCTTTCACAGAAACGTTCTACGTTCAGATAGCAGGGGAAACCTGTATTATTAATGGAAAGATAACCTAATTAAAAGGTACTTGTCACTTTAAAGGCAGGGGGAGAGCGGGGAGAGGGGAGGGGCCAAGCCTCTCCTGCCTCCCTCCCAAGCACAGACAAGCGGGCTGGGTACCACTTGGGAAGCTTTCCCTGCAGCAGAGTAGGATGGAGAGACCAGGTTAAGGGCCTGTTAACCAGGCTTTCTTGAAAAATGCCTGTTTGATCATTTAAACCCAGGCAAGTACATCAAAACCGGCGTGTGAAAAGAAACCATCCGGCTAGCTCTTGCAGCTGTCAGGAGGTGTAGCCTTTACCAGAGCCAGCTGTGGCCCAGGTGGCTCCTCTGTTATCCACAGGGAACACGCTTAGAGGAGGAAAGACGAGCTCTGAGAGCAGTTCAGACTCATCACAAGATGACAGGAGGCCCACACAGCCGACGTGGCCTAAACCCGCTGCCCTGCTCCCAGCAATGCGTCTGAACAGGAAGGTCACAGGTGAGTCATGTCAAATTTTCAGTTTTTAAGCTGCCTTTCTTCGGGCTGCTTTAGGCCGGACCCAGATTCTTCCATGCCGAGACCATAAATCCGTATTAATTTTTACTATAGGAGAATCTGAAATTTTGATATGTGGAAATAGCAAGGGGGGAAAACTGTGACACATGCAGGTATGGTGGCCTTGTCCCCAAAAGCCCCAACTCCCAACATGGGCAGCATTCCACGGAGCCTCCTTACCCTGGATTCTGAGATGGTCTACCACATCCCCTGTGGCCAGGATAAACATCCCACTGCTTTTCTCTCATCCCACTCCATATTCCAAACCCCTTCTAGGCTAATCTAGACACCCAGCATTTCGTGTTTCCAACGCAGGCTCTCCTTAATTAAGTCTCACACGCTAGGAAAAGCCCACCCAAACAGAAGGGGACAGATGAACTCTGCCCTTCCTAAGTGTCACTGTCAAGTCTCAAAGCAATGACTTCCTGGAAACCAAGAGTTTACGACATCTACACGTGGGGCTAAAAATAGGGTAGCCCTTCAGGAAAGATCTCAGGAGCCGCCAGTGGGTCAAGGGTTCGCACACGTCCACTCAAGAAACCTATCCGGGAGAGAAGGGCAAGGGAGCAGAAGTGCTACATCTAGCATCAGGACAGAAGAAGAGAGCAGGTCAGACGGCAGGCCCGCCCTACAGTACAGCAGCCTTCCACCGAGGAACCATTCAAATGGCTCAACAATGACACTGGCACATTGGCACACAAGGACAAATACAAAACAAAGCAAAAAAATACAAAATACACAAGGACAAATACAAAACAAAGCATAAATTAACCTATACCTTGTAAGAGGAACATAAATCACTCTACCTTAGGTCATAAGATTTTCTAAGGCAGGGTCAACAGAGCATGAAAGCAAAGTGCTCCCCTGCAAACGCATGGTGGACTTCTAAGAAATCCTTGTAATCCCCTCTGCTCTCTACACGCCCATGCAGAGCCATCCTAACAATACAGAGACCAGAGGGAATGGGTGGATTCTGCACAAAGAGTATCCATGATCAGAGCAAGGTTCTGGTTGTTGTAGAGACCTCACCTTGCAGAATACGTCAACATGATTAGCTGCCAGGGGGGCCTTATTTCTCCACTGACATCAACGTCAGATCAGAAATAGACTGGGACTTCCCTGGTGGTCCAGTGGTTCAGACTCCACACTCCCAATGCAGGGGGCCCGGGTTCGATCCCTGGTCAGGGAACTAGATCCCACATGCCACAACTAAAGATCCTGCGAGCAGCAGCTAAGACCCGGGGCAGCCAAATCAATCCATCAATCCACAATGTGTTTTTTTTTTTTAAAGATATTGTAATGGGGAAAAAAGTCTTTAATGGACAATGAAAAATGTTTATCAAAGGGGACTTAAGATATCATGGCATATTATCAGTTAAGATACGTATATGCTGGTGTTGGGATGTGTGTATGAACATATGTAGATGGATTACACACACACACACACACACACACACACACACACACACGCAACCTAATGGGAATTGCAGTCAACGATTTTCTTTCCCTTTATGACACTTTCCTGGATCTTCTTCCTGTTGACCAACCTCCTGCATCTCCTAAACTCGTAGAGTTTCCTAAGAACTTAAGATTGACTCCTTTCCTCCCTGCGTTGCCTGTGTGGCCCCCAGGTGCTCACAGAGCAGGTGTGTGATGCTCTGCCTCACAACTGGTACCGTCAGACTGCAAGAGCTTCCTCTAGCAGCCTAGCCATAGACAACAGGCCTTGGGTGAAACAAGTACGTCTGCCTTATCACCCCCTTAAACTGATTTTCTATGTAGGGAGATTACTTATGAGGGACGCTTATAAAGGCCACTTTCCTCCTGGTATGTGTTCAGAGCTGACTCCGTATTTTCCTATCAGCTTTTAAGAAGCTCGCAATTCAGTTATCTCACCAATGAAAAAGTTATTCCCTGGGAGTAAGTTAGGCCAGCCTGATGCCAAGTTTCAGAACAAAACCCCTTCAGGTTCAATACCAGTCTTATCAAGCTACTAATATCCTTCCTCCCATATTACTCGTGATGTATTTTGGGGGTTGTGCTAGAATTTTCTTTTCATTTATAAATTTGCTGTGAAGTCTATCGATTTACTATCGATAGGAATCGATAGTGAATTACTAGCGATTACTGTGAATTACTATCGATTTGTATTACGCAATTAGATTTATTTTAGACTTCAGCTCATTTGTTCCACACGAATTTACAAGGCTGAATCAGGCACTTGTAACGGGGGAGTGCATCGGCTGAGGCCACTAGGGGACCATTTGGTCAGTTTCTACCTTTAGAACTCAATGTTCCTCCACTGGCCATGTTCAGCCCCACAAGTGCCTCGCTCGCTTACTCCCATTGAAGAACTTACTCAAGTGGCCAGTGTGGCTCAGTCCCGTGCTCAATCATCTTCACAATGCACCAGGAAGCTTCTCCCCAGAGGAGGAAACTGAGGAAAAAGAATGGAAGCGGCTAACTCTGTGTCACTCAGCCACTCTGGGATGCCAGGGAGAAGAGACTCCAGAAACCCTGCTGCCAGGCCAGCGACTCAGGCAATTATCTGCCCAAAGCAGAAGAGGTCGGTCGTGGGCCTCTGCCACACCCAGAACCCACCCGGACCCCGTTCCTCACCAGAGAAGTTGGTCTCGACCCCAGGAGGACTCTGCACCACAGGGCTGCAGGACAGGGACGTCAGCACCATAGCTGCCATCATCTCATCCATCTCCACTGCATCCGACTTCCTGGATTCAGACAGGTGAGAGCCAAAGGTTACTTCCTGACACAGCTGGTCATGTGAGCATCTCACATTCCTAGACTGTCCCCTCCACGCCTCGACTCCAGTCAGTCAGTGTGTGCTCAAGTAATATTGTTAAATAAAGCATGCAGACCTCTCTTCATTCTTCAGAAAAAGACTCAATTCTGAGCTACACTGATAATATCAGTCAACCCCCGCAGAAGCAGGCTGGTCCCCATCCCACTGCTGACACCCAGAGGCAGTTCCACTCTCCCTTGAATTCCCTTCCTAACTCTAAGTCTGCAGCTTAAAATCAGGAATTTTATTTGGGGGAAAGGAAAATGAGTCCAAGCAATGAAATAAAGCATGGGCATAAAAGACGGCCAGCTAAATTCAAAATCACCAAAATTACCTTCCTTTCCTCGTTTTATATTTAAATTTAAGAGGGAACAATTACACGAACCAATTCCTTCCCCTCCCCCCAAGATTAATGATGAGGTATTGTGATAGCTTCTGAATGTGAACAGAACCTGGTACATAAACCAATGAGCAAAACACCCAGAAATACTAAAATAAATCTTCCAGTGAAAATCTCAATGCTTTATACAGCAGAGTTCTATAAAATTTTACACATAATTTTTTTAATCCATATAAAGTTACATTATTTGGAAATAAAGTTAAAGTTATCTATAAGTTAATGCTAAAGTATGAAAAGTCCGTCCGAAATAAATTTCTAGGTGGCTCCTCTATTTCAAAGGACTGTATTATGCAATTCATTCTTTACAATTCAGATCCACTAAAATATACGACGGGGCTTGAAGCAGCTAAACGAAAGCTAGTAATGTATTAAATGTGTCAGCATCCCCCTTTTTATATGATTATTTGTATTTTTATTTCCACAGAATGGAAAGACAAATTCTTTGCCAGTATTCCATTGAATTGACAATCACAAATGTTGTTGCTCTGGTCTGGTCTCCAGACACGGGGTGTACTGTCAATAACAATAATACTCACAGACAAACACAGATGGGGCAGGGGGCAGGGCTCAACTGCTTACACATCCTGTATATAAGAATCTCATTGGCAGGGGCTTCCCTGGTGGCGCAGTGGTTAAGAATCCACCTGCCAATGCAGGGTACACTGGTTCGAGCCCTGGTCCAGGAAGATCCCACACGTCGTGGAGCAACTAAGCCCATGTGCCACAACTACTGAGCCTGCGCTCTAGAGCCCGCAAGCCACAGCTACTGAGCCCAAGTGCCACAATACTGAAGCCCACATGCCTAGAGCCGGTGCTCCGCAACAAGAGAAGCCACCGCAATAAGAAGCCCGCACACCACAACAGGGTAGAGCCTGCTCGCTGCAACTAGAGAAAGCCCGCATGCAGCAACAAAGACCCGACACAGTGATCAATAATAAATAAAAATAAATAAATTTATTTTTTTAAAAAAGAAAAGAATCTCATTGGCAGATTTTCTTTTTTAATCTTAAAATATCAATGTGCATCAAGTATATAACATAGAAATTAGAATATACATATTCTCAGGGAAAAAAATCATGTCATAAAATTCTAAAGCAGGGACTTCCCTGGCGGGTCCAGTGGTTAAGACCGTGCTTCCGCTGCAGGGGGCGCGGGTTCAATCCCTGGTCAGGAGCTAAGATCCTGCATACTGTGCGGTGTGGCCAGAAAAGTAAAAATAATTAAAAAAAAAATTCCAAAGCAAAGTAAGCATACTTCATTCAGCATCGATAGTTTTAAATATCTAGCCAGGGCTCTGCAATCTCTAGACTGAGCCTTCCGCCTGTTTTAGCCTGGCTCACAAGCTAAGAGTGGCTTAACAATTTTTAAATGGTTTTAAAAATCAAAAGAAGAATATTCCTTCTTGACATGACACATGGAAATGACATGAAATTGAAATCTGAGTGTCCGTAAGTAAGGTTTTATTGGGGCACAACACGCCCGCCTGTTTACATACTATCTGTGGCTGATTTCACGTGACCACAGCCAAGCAGAGCAGCTGTGACAGAGATCATTTGGCCCACAAAACCTACGTTATTTACTCTGGCCCATTCTGAACATGTTTGCTGACTCCTGATCTAAGCCATTTTTTTCTCTCTCATCATGAAAAACTAAGACCTAATTTTAGTTTGAGCATGAAAGGGGGAAAAAATAGCCCTTAGCCAGACAAAGCTATATCACCCATAATAGAGTTACCGGGAAGAAAAGACGCCCTTCTGGGTCTTTTGAAAAGGATGCCCTCTCACTGTATCCCATTTGTCTGATATCTTGACTACTAGACACCTGGTTGTTCCACATTCCTTCCCCAACACAAGACATCCCAAAACCCCATACCTCACCACCCATGTGTCTTTCAGAGCCCAGGTTCTGTCACACAAACCTCTTTGGGACATCGATGTTCCTGGAGACAGGCCTGTAGGCTGGTGCCTGGGTTCCCTGCTCAGGAGGTGGCGCCTGGGGGATGGGGCTCTGCAGCTCGGCCGGCCACACCTCCTCCACTTTGCAGCAGATTTGTAACTTCTGGTCCAACAGCCAGACAGTCACCTTATCCTCTGCCCAGCTATGCCGCTCCACCAGTCCTGTACACTCTTGACCTCCATACCACACACAAACCTGGGGAGAGAAGAACAGCAGCCAGTGGTCAGCACTTGGGAGTTCTCACTCCATATGTCCCCAGTTCTGGGAGCCGGGAGCCGTATGCCACAAACTGCATTCTCCGACTCATCTTTAATTCAAGCAGATGCTCCCAGGTACCTGCTTCCCACCTGAACACCCAGACTAGCCACAGTGGATTGGTTCTTCCCAAAACAAATCCTTATAAATTTTCTAGATGGAGAGAGCAAAGGTGTCAGTTTCTGGGATTTTTTTTTTTTTTTAACTTGGAGTCTATACGCAATTAAGGTTAAGTTGTTATCATCTTAAAATAGACTGTTGTAACTATAGGATGTTTTCTGTGAGCCTCATGGTAACCACAAAGAAAAAACCTCTAGGAGATACACAAAAGATAAAGAAATCAACGCACAGGACTCCAAAAAAAAAAAAAAAAAACACACACACACACAAAAAGACAGCAAGAGAAGAAGAAAGAAACAAAGGAATTATAAACCAGTCAGAAAACAGTTAACAAGATAGCAATACCAAGTCCTTACCTATCACTAATTACTTTAAATGTAAACGGATTAAATTCTCAAATCAAACGAATTTGGAAATCTGTGTCCCTCCCTCCTGATTTCTTGCCCTGACTAGCCTCTGAAGTCCTATATATCTGCTGGTCCCCAACTATCACCTTGAATTGCTCACACCCTGCATTTTCCCCTTCAGAGAATCCTGAGTCTACCTGGGAGCACAATGGTAGTGGTGAAGAAGTAGGCTGATTGCTTTCAAGGGTGCCTAGCAGTTGCCAGGTGGCCTCACCTCATGGGAAGAGATGTCTGGACGACACAAGCCTTGAAACAGAGACAGAAAGCAGAGCCATAGTGGCTCTTGAGAAGGCAATGAAGGAGAAGCCCATGCATCTGGATCTAGTGCCAACATCAGGCACAGGTGATGCCTGAGCCCTGCCACAGGGGAGGAAACACTGGAAAAGGGACTCCAAATGGCATTCCAACTAAACAAACACCTTCATCTCTTGCAAACATCTAAAGGTAATTCAAAGATGCAATCTTATCTGTCTCCTGTAAGTCTGAGATTCTTTCCCTTGTTTTTACAAAGTTGCAAACTGAGACAGATTAAGAGAAACAGCTCTGGCCATGCTTTGAACTGAGGTTCTGAACCGGCCTGAGCCCAGAACTGTTGTGGAGGAGCCCTGGGTCTGCTCATTCCCTTGGGAAGCCTGCTGCCCAAGGGCTCATATGGCTGCAGGGAAAAGGTCTGTGCTAAAGCCCGTGCCCAGAGAGTTTCACTCAGGGCACCGCTGGGCTGCCAGACGCAAGCCTGGAGAGATCAGACATTTGTCCACTCGGGGATCAACCTACCTTCTGCCCGGGCTGAAAGGCCACCTGCTGGAGGCCTGAGGTGCCTGGAGCCTTGAGGAGTTCCTTGGGCTGCTCCTGGCAGGACGTGTCCTTAGAGGCAAGGAAGGGCTGGAGAGCCGCCGCCTCAAGCAGCTCTGCCTGAGGCTCCAAGGGTGGGGCAGCCCCGGGTGGCCCCAACACCCGGGCGCCCAGGAGGGACCTCTTGCCAAGGCGCCGGGACAGAACGCTGGCCATGCTGCTGCCTTTCCTGGGAGGCAAAGGGGACACAGAGTCCTTTATCCCGTATCTGGAGGCATCAGGAGGCCCTACACGCAGCCGGAACCCGTGAGTGTCCGTTAAAAAGGATGAAACATTTTAAAGTAACTTTTACAACTTCTTTCTTTTTACAAAAGTAACACCTGTTACTAGTAGGACATTTAGAATGTACTGATAAGCACAAAGAAAAACAAATCCCTCAAGAAGCCGCCTCCCACAGATACCCATGTTTCCTAAAGCATTCCAAGCTTTCTTCTACACACAGATTTATATATTTCTATTTCTACAAAAATGGGATCATGGTTTGGTAAACTGAATTTACACTTATCCTGTGTGGGTTATACTGTATCATTACATGTTATTCTACAATCATACTTTTATAAGTCACACAGTGTTTTCTTAGGCGGATGCACCACTGCAAATTTAACAAATTCCTTACTCTTCTTCCTGAGGGCTGTACCCAGGGTTGTGTTGCTGAAACTGCTCTGCCCGCAGGCAGCATCTCAGCACACACACCAACGTCCGCTTCCCAGGTCAGGATGCTATTACAACAGCACTAAGAGATGCTCCCACACCAACATCCGCTTCCCGGGTCAGGATGCTATTACAACAGCACTAAGTCAGAGCGGGAGGGGGTCTGTCAGACACTCAGATTCTCAAGCTCAGCTGGCTTCAAAGTTGCCAACAGCCACAGAAGTGAGCCGTGCTAACTATTCCTTGTTTTCCACTTGAGGGAACTAAAGTGGGGGAGCTTAAGTGACTTATTCCTGGCGGTACAGGTAGTTGGTGTCAGAGCCTGAACGAGATCTGGTCTCCTGACTCCAAACCCAGGTCTTCTCAGCGCCTCCCAACTGCCTGCACCCTGCCCCCGACAGGCTCCGGGATCAGGCCACTCGAGCATTCAGGGCTGATGGAAACACAGGGCCACAGCCCTGACATGGACCAAGGAGAACCATTCCAGGCCTCTGCACGGTCACCCCACGATGGACAGGAGCTGCTCTGGAAACGGCCTACATCATTTCTGCGTACTCAGAGGCATCAGCTCACCCCCACGCATAATACTCCAGAAAGCAGGGCACTGGGGAGCGCTGTCCTCTGCATTTTATAGGGAAGAAGAGCTAAGAAGGAGACAACACCAGAAAGCTTGGTGTGATGCTCCTTTAGTCAAAATCCTCCTGCCTGAGAGGTGGGGTTCTAACCAGCCAGCACTCTCTAAGCCCCAGGGCAGGGGCTGGGGGGGGGGGACACCCCTTGACCTTCATGTGCCTACACCATTCCAGAAAAGAGGAAGTCAATCTTATGGGACCTCAGAGATTCAAAACAGTCAACGAGCTTGCTCTTGGGAAATCCCACCCCTGATCCACAGCCTCCCTGCTAAGCAGGATGCAGGGAAAACACAGTAGATCTGCCTCAGGCTGCACTGTGGACCCCACTCAGAGCCTGTTTCCTCATCTGTAAGTCACAATGCTAATACTCCCCTTATCAACCTTCAAGGAGCAATGAGAACGTTCCAGTAGAAGCCCTCTGGACACAGGCTTCTAAATAATTCTGTATTAGACTAACCTTTCATGTTCTTAAAAAGATGATGAATAATCCCTTCCCCCCCTCCCCCATTAGGTAATAAGATATAACCCCCAGGTTATTTGGACAGCTCACCTCTTAACACCTCATTTATGTGTAGACATTGTATTCATACCTAACACTGGAGAGCATTTCCTACGTGCTAGACGCTAAGTGCGGTACTGGCATTCTCTCATTCCACAGGTACCATTAGTGTCCATCCTTATTCTGTTCTCAAAAAAACAAAGACCCAGAGAGATTAAAAGACTTGACCAAGGTCAGGGTAAAAGGCCAAATCAGGGCCCCTCAGGACCTACTGACTTCAAAGTCTGTGTCTTTTTAGGACGACACCATGCTCCCCCTCCTCTTTCCAAATACCCTCTGCCTGGGGCCCATGACCTATGGCCTCTACTTCCCTATTCTCACCTCCTTGGACTCCACTGACTTCCATCTCTGCTGTCCATGTCATGACCTGGGTCACAAGGTACTGCCCAGCACCAGAGGGTCAATCTCTGTGCTCACAACCCCAGGCATACCCTCCTCCCTGGTTCCCTCCCCCGGTCCTCAGGCTACTGGTTGCCCTTGTCAGCAGCTTCATTCCCACCAACTCCTCTCCAAGAACTGACTTCCACTGGTCACCCAACAACAGGTCAGAACTCTGCAGTCCCTTCACCCCCAGAAACCAGAATGCCTCGCATCCGCACAGGGCTCGAGGGGTGGCTACCAGGGGCCACAGCTGCTCCCAGGCCTGCTGGGTCCGCTCGCGGAAGGGGAAGAATCAGACCTGGCACCCTGCGAACTCACGCTGCCCCTTCTCCAGAGCGCTCGGAGCTCCTCAGCCACCCTGCGGCTCATTCCCTCTGGGTACCGTAGCACACTCCGAATCTCTGCTGCCCCAGGTGCCCTGTTCCCTCGTTAACTCACTTCTCCAGTCAGTATTTAGTCGAGGAACTGATCTGTACAGAGCATATCCCCGGTGCTGTGGCAGGTGTAAAATGCTAGGATTTTCATAGACTCAATACCAACACTGTTCCCCTACCTGGAATTCCCATCAGGCTAACTCCACCCCTGTCTATTAAGCTTGGCATTTCCAGAGACTGTTCCAGCGGCCTTTCTCCTCCCTCCCACCCCTCTGCCCCTGGCCGCACCCACGCCAGGAGAAACCTGCACCATAGCTATGGGTTCAAACTTTCTTTGAATAGTTCCATAAACCTTCTCTACTTTTCACCCTTGTCCAGAAGGACCTCGGGGCTTCGTTTGGGTCCCATGCCATCTTCTTGTCTCCCGATTCCTGGCCTCCTTCCCAACCATCCCAGCAAAGTATGCTCAGCAAACATCTCCACAATAACAAAACGTGAAGGTAAAAATAAGTTTAAAAGTTAAGAATAAAGTCGCAAATACAGAGGAAAAGGGTTTGGCACATTTTTGTCAGTGTTTTACTCAGAGCTTCAAGGGCTAGAATCAGAGAGTATGGTATCTCCACCATGAATTCCCTAGAAAGCAAAGAGATAAGAAAAAGGTCAAAATCGCAGCATCCTACAGAGTTCCTCTCTAGGTGTCTGGTGACTTTCTACTTAGTAACACTCTACTGGAAAGCTTTACTATGTATGTCATCAAAAGGAATAAAAACGTAAGGAGTAAATTCTTTACCACGACCAAAAAAAATGTCCAAGCTGATTTGGTGCTAATTTGGTTTTAAAAACTCAGTCACCTACCACCGTCCTCGAAGCCTCAAGCCAGAAAAAAGAATCTCAAACCCTCAGTTTAACGTCGCTGAGCTAGAAGTGAAGCCACAGTGCCACTTAGAGACATCAGATGGCAGCATCCATCCAGAGAAAGAAACAATCCTGCTCTTGACCCCAAAAAAAAAAAAAAACAAAAAGAAAGAAAAAAACACAGTGGCCACCCCCACTTCCCACAGCAGGAAGTTTGAGGTTTCTACCACTGAAATGAAGAAAGGGTAGTATTTCCAAAATTCCTGGGCTTCCAGACGGAGCCTGAAATATTTGGCTAACAGACTCTGACGATGTTTTTGTTAAGTCTGTTTTTTTTTTTTAATGTAAAGAACGCTTTTTATTTGCTTTGTGAAGCTGCACCTTCCAAAGCCTGCTGGATTTGCACAGTTGGTGAACCTGCCCACTCCGGCTTCTTCCCACATGCATTCTTTGGCCTTTCACCTTTAACTGGCCTGAATTCCACCCTGAAATACCTTTTATTATTTGTTTTATTTATAGTGCGCCTAAATCTTAATTTTTAAAAGCAGAAGAGAAAGAAGGAAGGGAAACTGCCTTTATTAAATGCCTAATAGCACCAGCTTTCGCAAATTGTATCTAATTTAATCCTCAGAGCGACTTAAGATAAACATATGGTCTTTTATGTCTGATGAGGAAACTGAGCCACTGAGAGGTTAGGTTGCCAAGGCTACACAACCAGGAAAGGCAGCCACTAGGGACTGAACTCACGTCTATCTGGTGTCAAAGGGCCTGATCCTACCATTATTCCAATAGGTGTGAGATCTCTCAAAATAAAACACTCAAGCTTGCTTTTCACCTACATGGTATTTTTTTCCCCTATGTCAGTGAACCTCTACAGGAAACAAAAAAAAAGAAGCAAAAGCAAAACAAACAAAAAAACAGCTCTCAATCCTGCAAGTCTCCTTGTGTGCTTTTTCTTTCCTTGAAAACCCATTCTCCACTTGCATCTTAGCCTCCCACCTACAAAATAAAGGCCAATGCTTTCCTCCAACCTTGTTCAACAGTCCAGGTCACTGTTAATCATTTAGCAGTTTGGGAAGACCTTTATACACAATATTGCCCTCTGAGAGGGTGCAGAGAGATAATGTAATCAATCCCAAAAGTTAAGGGAAATCTTAGCCAAATTTACACTGAGGATTGATAGCATGGGAGTGAAAAAACATGAATCTAGATTAAATGTAGGCTGGGCAGGATGGCCAGGTGTGTTGATCAGCATTACATTAGGAACATGGCTCAACAGATAACACCATCCCTCAAGTCCTTCGGGGATTCGGAAGTGAATTCAAGCACCTACAGAGGTCTGCCATGCAGGCAGGAAGAGGATCCAGGTTAATGGAGACTCTAGAGGGACTTTCCAGGACGGCCTGTTACTGTATACCTTAGCTTGAGGGTCCCAACCCCCTCCCAGCATGTTTCTACCAATGTAACCACCGCTTCCTTCAAATCTTTCTTCCCTGATCTCTACTTCCAACTCACCCCCCTATTGGTTTCTTTCTTGAGAGCTATTGATGGTCGATAATAACCAGCCAGCCCCTAACTTGCCATATGGTTCAGGTTCGGCAAAGAGAAATCAAGAAACATCTTTTTCAGGGTAACAATAACAGTGTTTCAACACACAGTCAAATCCAGCTTTACAATGTTACATTCTCGACTTACAAAGTCCTTGACCGAAACATAA